CCCCCCCCCCCCCGCCCCAGGCCTCCCCGCCTGCCCACAGTAGACTTGTCTCTGCGCCCCGCCGCCCACACCTCCCCGTCTCTAAGCCCCTTCTTGCACAAGAGCCGTGGGGCGGACAGACCGCCCCGTGGAAAAGGGCAGGGCTCAGGATCCGGTTCCTGCGCCCTCGTGTGACCCCAAGTCACAGAGCCTCCCCAGACTGTCCCGAGATCCCTTCCCACCTGCCACGGCCTCGGGGCCTGGCCCTCGCCCCCCTCCCCTCACCCTTGCGGCGCACCCCCTCCCCAGCATGATCAACGCGGACTTCTGCGCGGCTGCGGTGCTCGTCTCCTTCGGGGCCGTGCTGGGCAAGACCGGGCCGGCCCAGCTGCTGCTCGTGGCCCTGCTGGAAGTGCTGCTGTTCGGCCTCAATGAGTTTGTGCTCCTGAATCTCCTGGGGGTGAGTCGGGTGGGGCTGGGCCAGGGCCAGGCCCTGAGCAGGCAGAGCACAGGTCAGTGGGGGGAGGGCGGAGAGCCCCCCCCACCTCAGCGCTCCCTCCCCAGGTGGAGGATGCAGGGGGGTCCATGACCATCCACACGTTTGGGGCCTACTTCGGGCTCGTCCTGTCCCGGGTCCTCTACAGGCCCCAGCTGGGGAAGAGCAAGCATCGCCAGGCCTCCGTCTACCACTCCGACCTCTTTGCCATGATCGGTGAGGCCTGCTGGGGTGGGCTGGGAGGAGGGGCCGGGGAGGACGTCCCAGGCAAAGTCTCAGGCTGCCGAGGGTCCTGGGGGTCCTGGCCGGGAAGTCCCTTCCGAGAGCCGGGATCTAGGCGCGTCATTCCCAGCAGTTTCTTTGACAGGGTGTTAGAACTCAGCCCTGGAGCACGCGCGTGCCCCACACCTGTTCCCGGGGCCTTTCTAAGTCAAGCCTGACTGCAGGGTCCCTGCTTACACTCCCCAGCGCCGCCCCCCCCCCCCAGGCCTGGCCCAGCTGGAGTTGCTCCCCCTGCCCTCTCCCCACCTACTACCTCCAAGACTCTGCCCCTCACATGCTTTCCAGAGGGTTTCCCAGAGGCCCCTGCAGGCCCAGGGGCAAGGGGAGAGGTGCCGGTCACCCCTGGGCGCAGTAGGGTCTGACCTTTGAGCACCATCACCACCATCTGCTTCCCCCAAGCACATACCTCCCTCCCTCTCCCTTGGCCTCGGGCCTCTCTCTGCCTCCGCAAATGAGACAGGAAAGGAAATTGACATTTTCTCCCCTGGTAGGCGCCCGCCCATCCCCACACTACAGGGGGGCCGGCTTTGTGTCTGTTGCTCACCTCCGGGTTTGTTGTGAAAGGAGATGGATACATTGACTAGAAGTCCAAGGGCGTCCCCAAGAAGGCGTGCTTCCCCAGGAGGCGTCCGCCCCAGCTCTTCTGCGCCCCCTCCTTCCAGGCAGGAGCCCTGCCTCTTCCTGGCCCCCCCGCTCTGCCCTCTGAGGACACACGCGTGACTGTGCTGGGTTCCACCGCAGAAGTCACACGCACCCCAAGACCACTCAGGACGAGGGGCGGTCTAGCCAGCGGGGTCCCCAGCCAACCCCTCACCTCATCCCTCAGCCCTTCCCCGCCCTCCAGGACTGGCCGGGAGCCCATCACATGTCGGGGGGCAGAGGCCTCACCTGCACCTTGCAGGGCCCGGGTCTCCAGATGGCGGCTGAGGATTTAAAGCATATTGTTTCCCTGGTGTGAATATCAAGTTCAGTTCAGTGCCTGCCATGCAGGGCCCTTTGCCTGTTTTTCTTTCCTTTTCTGATGCTTCAAAAAAAAAAAAAAAACAATCGTGACCGTCTGGTTCTCGGTCGAGTGGCTCTGCACCCGTGCCCTTCAATAGCCGCTCTTCGCTGCGCACCCAGTGGCTGCTAGGCCTGCGCGTCTGTCCGCGCCACCTCACATGGCCCAGGCTCTGGGAGGTGCTCTGACCCCCCCTTTACCAGCAAGGATACCCAGCCTGCTCAGGGGCGACCTGCTTCCTCTTACTCTGCCGCCCTACCTACCATTTAGGGACCATCTTCCTGTGGACCTTCTGGCCCAGCTTCAACTCTGCACCCACCATGCTGGGGGACGGGCAGCACCGAACAACCCTCAACACGTACTACTCCCTGACCGCGAGCACCCTCAGCACCTTCGCCCTGTCAGCCCTCGTCGGGGAGCAGGGCCGGCTGGACATGGTATGGGGGGAGGTGTGGGGGGCGGAGGGATGGGTGTGGGGGGCAGAGGGATGGGTGGGGGAGGTGTGACGGACAGAGGGACGGGTGGGGGAGGCGTGAGGGACAGAGGGACGGGTGGGGGAGGCGTGAGGGACAGAGGGATGGGTGGGGGAGGCGTAGGGGTGCAGAGGGACGGGTGGGGGAGGTGTGAGGGACAGAGGGACGGGTGCTCTGTCAGCCCTCATCGGGGAGCATGGCTGGCTGGATACGGTAGTGGGGGAGGTATGGGGGGGAAAGAGACGCATGGGAGAGGTGTGGGGGGGCAGAGGGACAGGTGGGGGAGGTGTGGGGGGGCAGAGGTCTGAGACCCCGCGAGGCCCGTTCTCCAGGGAACAGGCACGGGGCCCTGATGGAGCAAGAGACCACACACCAGCAGGAGAGTTCGCGATCAGACCGCAGAGAGACTTCCAGAAGCAATAGATGCCACTGCGGTGGACGGGGAGGGGTTGGCGGGGCATCGAGCTGGAAGGGCGTCCGACGCCCTGCTCCCCTGTGCTCCCCCAGGTCCACATCCAGAACGCGGCGCTGGCCGGAGGGGTCATAGTGGGGACATCAGGTGAAATGATGCTGACGCCCTTCGGGGCCCTGGCAGCCGGCTTCCTGGCTGGGACAGTCTCCACGCTGGGGTACAAGTTCTTCACGGTACAGACGCCTCTCGGGCCCCGGGGCAGAAAGGGGGTCCCCCTGCGCCGCGTCCTCCCGGTCTCCAACTGCCTGGTGGGGGAGGGGCGCACAAGACTCACGATTGGTGTCCTGTCCTCCAGCCCGTCCTTGAGGCAAAATTCAAAGTCCAAGACACGTGTGGTGTCCACAACCTCCACGGGATGCCCGGGGTCCTGGGAGCCCTCCTGGGGGCCCTTGTGGCTGGGCTGGCCACCCACGAGGCTTACGGAGATGGGTGAGTCCTCCCGCCCCATCCCTGACCTCACCCGGGGGTGACCTCCCTCACTCTCCTCCTTCCGTGGCCGACACAAAAAGCAGCGTCTGTGTTCGTGTTTCCTTCAGGAACAGACGGTACAGATGATGAGCCTTAGGCTCAATTTTGCACCGTCAGGGGTCAGAGGAGGGGACAAGCAAACGTGCTCCTCAAGCTGAGTCTTGAGAAGCGTGTGGGTGTCCCAGGCTCTCGTGAGGCCCTTTAGGCCGCTGCACGGCGCACTGACGCCCTGAGCAGTCCTGTCCCCCCCCCCCCCCCCCCCGCAGCCTAGGCAGTGTGTTTCCACTCGTAGCCGAGGGCCAGCGCTCCGCCACCTCTCAGGCCCTGTACCAGCTCTTCGGGCTGCTTGTCACACTGCTGTTTGCCTCTGTGGGCGGGGGCCTCGGAGGTACGTGACCTTGGCTAGGGGTGGGAGGCTGGCGGGAGCCCCAGGGAGGGTGTCTTCTGGAGGAAGGGCCGCTGGATCCCGTCCCCCTGACGTTCATTTACTCACACATTTGTTGAGCATGTACTTTGTGCCAAGTGTGGGGCGTGGCTGTAGAATTCAGGGGTAACCTCCTCCAGAAGTGGGTACTTGCTCCCCACTGGTGCTGGGAGAAGATGGGGAGGGGACTAGGAGGCCCAGGGGTCCCCCTCCAGGTCTCTGGCTTCCCTGTACTTCCCACTCTACCCACCAGAGGGCAGCCCGACCTCAGGCTGAGGCCTTGAAGGGGGAAGCCAAGCTCTTTCCTGGGCAGGGGTGGGGGCAGGGAGGGAGCGGAACACAAAACCTCCAGAGGGGCCCACTGCCCCCTGATGCCCGTTCAGACAGCCCTCCCTGCTGTCTGGCCTCACTCCTGATCTGTGATTCAGTATCCCCACCCCACTGCGCAGCTTGAGATTTTCATTCTTGAACAGGTTCGATGCTGTTCCCTCATTTAATTACTTATTTACTCAATAAGCACGGGCAGCACCCCGCGCCCCCCGCGCCCCCCGCGCCCCGGGCAGGAGCCGTGTCCGTGACAGAACCACGATCTGACCACAGTTTGTTCTGTTGGGTTAACGAGGTGCTGGACTTCTCGGAGGTTCGGCCGCCTTCCCTGTAGCGGAGGGTCCCGCCCAGCAGGCCCGCTGTGAGGCCTGGCTGCAGCCCCCCCCACAGCTGCTGGGGCGGGCGTGCCACCGGCCCCTCTGTGCCCCGGGGCGCGCGGGGGCCACCCCCCCGCACAGGAGTGCCCGCGGCCTCACCCGGCTCCCCGCCACCGCCAGGGCTCCTGCTGAGGCTGTCCTTCCTGGGCCCGCCTCCAGACTCCCAGTGCTTCGAGGACCAGGTTTACTGGGAGGTGAGCGCCCCGGTGACCATCTCATCCCCGAACCCCTTCCTACGCCCCACCTGCCTTTCCTTCCTCACCTGCTCTTCTCTGTGGGGACGCACCCCCTTCCAGGTGCCTGGGGAGCTTGAGGACAAAGCCCAGGTGTGTCTGAGGGCCGAGGAGACAGACTCCGGGGCCTAACTTGCTTCCAGCCCATGAGAGGACACCCTCCTTCTAGGAGAAGGGGACCACGGGGAAGGACCCCAGCCCTCCTGCTGCAGGGACGACGGCGGCACTGGGGGCAGGGCAGTGGAAGGTGGGGGAATGGGGGAGACCCCTTGGCACGCCCACCCCACCCCGCGGCCTGTGAGCAAGGTGCCCAAGCAACGGCCGATCCACTGTCCAAGGTCGCACAGTCACCGGGAGGTGTGTGCCGGGTCAGCTGAGCGGGTGATAAAAACCACCGGCACCAAGGACTCAGACTCCTCTTTTTGTGCGCTGGGAATGGGTGTCGGGGGTGGGGAGGGGGCTCTCTCTCCGTCTCTCTAACACACGGTGGTGGAATCCTGGGTGGGGAGGACCTCGGTGCCAGCAAGCGCCTGCCTCCCCGGGCCCGCGGAGCCCCCTCTAGGATGCCGAGTTCTACAGGGTGGGTGTCCAGGCTGGGCTAGCCTGCCTCCAGGGACAGGGAGCTCATTCCCTCCCAGGAAATCTGTCTAGAATGGTCTTCCTCCTGCAGAACACCGCCACCCCCACTCCTGACTCGGGCCGCCTCTGAACGGAGGGCAACGGGGAGTTCTTGGCCACTGAGTCCCCAGAAACTGGAAGCAGCCAGCACCCACGTCCCCCTTCTATCCCGAGGCTGCAGACCGCGGGGAAGGCAGGCCGCCACCTCGGCCGCCGGAGGTCTTCTGGCCACCAGAGGGCGCTCCAGACCCAGCATAGGTGTCCGTCCTCCCAGCCTCCGCCCTGCGCCCAGATCGGGTCCTTCCTGTCTGCGCTGCTCCGCGCTGGGTGCCGTGACACTGCTCCCAGTTCTCAGTCCCCACTGTGCGTCAGGCTGGCGCTAGGGCCTTCGGATCTCATGCATCAGAGGCGCCGCCGCTGCAGCGGACCCGAGGGCCTCTCCCCTCCCGGAAGAGCCGGGAGCCCTTGGCGCTGTCCTGCCCTCCCTCCAGGCTTCTGGGGAGCTGGGCCCGGCTGCCCGCGGACTCTCCCTCAAGACCAAGCCCGTTGGGACCTAGGGACCCAGCCACTGGGGAGGGGCTCCTGGGGCCGGGCCGGGGACAGGCTTCATCCTCACTGTGGCTGGAGACACCGAGTTTGGCTGGGGAAGGAGCCAAGCACTGAGCTGAGGGGAAGGGGGGGAGCAAGGAGGGCCACTGAGGCCCAGGCGCTCGCTGGGACCCATCCCTGCCCCCAGGGCCCCAGTATGCCCGGCCCCTCGGCCTCTTCCTTCCGCTGCAGTGCGCCCCATTGCTGGGTGGGGGGCGTGCTGAGGGGACCCCTGTACCCAGCAGAGGTTGGCTGCCCGGGGGGCAATAGGGTCCTCTGTCCTGTCCGCCCCTGCGGGGAGGGAGGGGGCTTGGGAGAGCCGAGCCCCCTCCCCCCCAGCTCCCAGCCCCCCTGCTGAGCTAGAGCCCCTCCCCCCAGCAGTCCTCAAAGGGATCTGAAAGGGTGTCAAAGGGAGACTGGAGGGGGGTGCGGGGAGACGCTCCCTGCCCTGGCCGCTGCCTGCAGTTTCCCACTGGCTCCTCCCCTCCCCTTCCAGTTCCTCCCTGACGGCCACAGCCAGACCCCCTCCCCCCACCGTGAGCACATGGAGCGGAGAAGGGCCATGCTTCCAAGGGAGGAAACGTGGGACGCCCACCCCAGGCCCCTGAGAGAGGAGGGCAGGTCCCCCCACAACAGCAGGTCCTGAAGCCTGTTCCCAGCTCCGTCACCCCCATGAAGCCCCGTGGCCTGGAGACCATGCTGAGCTCGGCCACAGGACCCAGTGCCTGGGCTCAGGGGGCTCTGTCCGGGCCGAGCTCTTCTGACCCGGCGCCTGGTTTGTCACACATTCCCTCCTCTCCCCGCCCCACCCCCACTGGTGCCCGGGCGCCAGCAAGCCGGTGGGCACCCCAGAGACCGTGCCCTGATTGGAGCAGGTCACCTGTGGTTTGGGGATTTGGGGACAGGGGTCACGGTCCCATCGCTGCTTTCAGGGCGGGAGCTCAGAGGGCAGGACATACAGGTGTCCCGGAGCCTCTGTGCTGAACCAGCGCCGGCCCCTCCTCCGGCCACTCAGCACCATCGTCCTCTGCACGGTGGCCCATCCATCCCGGCTGGGTCAACAGGGTGACAATGAGCAGGTCAAGGAGATGGCAGGGCCAGGGGCCAGGGGGCTCCTTCCTCGCCCCTCGAGGACAATGAGGCCCCTGCCCCTCAGGGACAGCCCCTCTGATCAACACCATTATTACCCTCAATGCAGGACAATCAGACACTTGTCCACTCATGAACTCTGTCCAGCCCCAGTGCCTGAGCTCCGGGGACAGTGATGGACGAGGACACCGGGCCCTTGGTCTGCTCCAGGGCCCCACTGTGGGGGGCGGGCTGCACCGGGGTCAGTGTGGAAGGCGCAGGGCCAGAGCACTGAGGGGCGGGTTTTGGGAAGTGGCCCCCGCTCTGGCTTCGAGTAACCGTGTGTCAGTGACGAGGGGGTTTGCAAGGTCCCCTCACCCCTCCCACCCCCCACCTGCGGCTGGAACCCTTTGGCCGCAGCGGCTCCTCTGACCTCTGGAGGACCTGGCCTGAACCGCGCAGCCTGGGAAAGGTCTGAGCTGAGCCATTGGGATTCACATCACGGCACGAGGCACCAGGCTCAGGGAGGAATTAGACACGGCCTGGGTGTCCAAAGCGGGGGCCGGTGGCCATCGGGGCAGACGGGCTCGGCGGGCGCCCCGCCTCACCCCGAAATTTCTCCTACCGTCAGGACCCCTACCCGCCGCCTCCCGGCTCTGCGCCCGGCCCCTGGCCCCTTTGTCTGGCCCCGCTGCGCCCCGGCCATGCGCCACCGCTGCCGCCACCGCCACCGCTGGCGGGAACAATGCGGGCCAATGTCTCGGGCAGGCGAGCCCGCTATGCAAATGCCACCGGCCTGTGAGAATTCCCCTCCGCCGGCTTCCACCGCCAGAAAGGGGCCACAGCCACTGCATAGGGATGAGCTGACGTCCCCAGTGCCCGGGACAGAGCGCCATTGTCTACATGGCACTGTCTGACCGGCAGCCTCGGCCAAAACTGCCCCGTCCATACCTGCCCCTTGCCCCAAAGAGCCTCGACTGCCCCCAGCTGGCCGCCCCCACTCAGCTCGGTGGCCTGCAGGAGTCCGTTCTTTCTCCGAACCTGTCCCTTGGAGGTTAAGCTGGCCCTCGGTCGGTGTTCTTCCTGGCGTCCCTACCTGTGCACCAACCCCCAGTCCCCATCTCCATCCGTTTTCTCACATTGCCTTGACCAGTGGACTCTTACAAGTGTTTCCGGAGCCCATGCCTGTCCAGAGCCACAAGGGAAATACTCATGGTTCCTTCAAAGTAGCCTAGTGGGCAGACTCCCCAGGGGGTCCTCTCTGACCGGGGAGCCCCAGGCCTGGCGCAGGCCTCCCCTCCTGCCCCCTTCTGCCGTCCGCCAGTTAGGGGCCCCGCCTTCGCCTGGCAGAAAGGCTCTCGGAGGCAGGACTGAGATAAGCTTCTCCAGCGATGTAGGCATAGGGGTCCCACACAAAGTCCCCTCTCACAAGTGAAAGGGATATGACCCTCTATCCCCAGCCCAGGGGCCTGGGTCCGGCTGACAGATGGGACTGGTCAAAGCTTGGACTGAAATGCTCAACACAGTGGGGACGCCTGGCTGGCTTTGACGGAAGAGCATGTGACTCCTGATCACGGGGTCCTGCGTTCGAGCCCCATGATGGGCATAGTTTACTTAAAAAAAAAAAAAATCAGGCAGCAAGCAAGGGAGGCTGTTAGGAGCACAGTCCATTCCGGTGAGGAGCCCTGAGCCCAGCTCTCACGGGGCATGCGCAGGCTGAGCTCCAGGACCTGGGCTTGAGCCCGGGCCGGGTGCAGGACCTGAGTCCATCTTTCCCAAACTTCTACCAAGATCCATGACCTGGGGCTGATGCCACTCTGGTGTGAAGCTATTCAGAGATGGCATTTGGGCCCTTGAAACAGTGACGCTTTCAGAACTTATCATGTTCTCAGGGCACAATCGATTGGGCAACACCCAAAAGGAGAATTATCCCGGGAAGTCCAGATCCCCAGCCCCCAAGGAGAAGGGGGGAGAGGTTGCTGGTGGAGACGCTGGCATTCCTGGGGGGGGGTCCTACCGCTAAGTCATCAGCCTCTTCCTCTGGGGGGGGCAGCCCTCCATCTCGGATGGATGGAGCTCGTCCCTCCCGCCCCCTGGGCCCCTGGGGGTGCAGGTGCGTGTGTGCTGTGACCCCATTGTGAGGGTGTGTGTGGGGGAAGCCCGGCCCCCGGGTGGCATGTGGGACACCGGGTAAGAGGAAAGTCAGGGTCAGGGGACAAAGGCTGGGAGCTGAGGTGCCCGCCCCCAGGCCCCCACCTCTGGCAGTGGGCCCTCCTGCGGCTTCTGGGCCAGCTGCTCTTCTGTCCAGGTCTCTGGTCCCACCCAGAATCCCTCCAGAACATTCTGACCTGGGCCGCCCAGCCTCAGGGAAACTCCTCTGGCCACATCGGGAAGAAGCCAAGGCCCACATCCTCACACATGTCCACATGTGGCCGAACCCCAGGTACACCTTCCCTCCCGCGTGGGCACCCTGGCTGCGGGCAGCCCCAGGAGAGGCGTGACCGGAGCCCCCTCTCTCTGGCTCGGACCTCCAGGGCTCTCCGGGCCCCTCAGCTGGCCTCTGGGGCTTGGCTCGGAGGCTGAGAGAGGAAGTGGCTTTGTTGTGCCAGGACATGGTCTAGATTCTTAAACTCGCTTTCCCACCCTGCTCTCCCCGGGGCGCTCAGCTGGAGCGGCACACCCCCCTCAGCGTCCCTGTGCACACCATCCATCTCCCCCCAGAGCCAGGAATGTGGCTCCAGGACACTGTGGGGCTTGTTCCCAATCGCCTTCTAGCTCATTTCACTCAGGCTTTTATACACTCGCCTTCATCCCACGGGCTGCTGTCTGGTTCTGGCTCTGGAGGCGCAGACAGAGGTCTCCCTGCCCCCCACCCCATTCCTCACGCTTCATTTTGTCCCAACACCATCTGAGGAGGCTGCACCACGGGGGGGGGGGGGAGGCATGGAACCCTGGTGTGGGAGCTGGCAGGGGGGCAGGGTCCCCTTCCTCCCTTCCCGTTCGCCTCGGGCTGGCTGCACCGTCGCTGGCCCCGGCGCCGCACGCGGTGGCTGCCTGCCATCCATCCTGCGCCCGCCCTTCTGTCCACGCCCCGCGAGCCTCGATTATTGGTGGAATTAGCGCCGGGCTTC